ATTGGTACAAATACAGTTTATTTAATTCAATTATTTGGTTTCAAAAAATTTATCTCCAAAAATAATTTGGTTCAAGTAACCATTTATTTGGTCAATTAACCGATTATTTGAATCAAATAAATTTTTTTTCACTACAATACCTTTTCCCCTAAAAAAGAAGGTGAATTTTTTTCCCTTAAAAAAGGGGACAAAAAAATACAACATCAAGTTAAATAATTACATATAATAATCGTGAATATCTTTCGTTCATTCTGTCCACACCTGAAGTTAGTATTTGTTATAGGTCTTTTGTTTTTTTTAAATGTATTGTTTGACATTATTTTGTGTTGGTTAAAATTTTTCAATGTTTTTTTGGCATTGTTTCGATAATTAATTTTGAATAGAAATTTTAAAAAATAATTGAATTTTATTTTATTTTAAATTGAAAACTTGGTAAATAATTGAATTTTGAATTGAAAATTTGAAAATAATTTAATTTTAGTTGATTGTTGATTGAAAATTTGAAAATAATTTAATTTTAGTTGATTGTTGATTGAAAATTTGAAAATAATTAATTTTAGTTGATTGCTGATTGAAAATTTTGATAATAATTAATTTTGACTCGAAATTTTGGAAAATAATTGAATTTTAATTGAAATTTTGGATAATAATTTAATTTAAGTTGATGTTGAATTAAAATTTCGGGTAATATTTGAATTTTATTTAATTTTAAATTGAAAACTTGGTAAATAATTGAATTTTAAATTGAAAATTTGGAAAATAATTCAATTTTATATATAATTTAATAACATGTAATAATAATTTTCATTATTATCATTTAATATGAAATAATATTCTAATAAATTTAAATTATTATTGATAATATTAATCTTTAATTTCTTTATAACAAACAATTAAATACTTAATTTGGCGCGCTTGCGCGCGTTTAATATTGCTAGTAATAATAATAATGTTGTATAAAAATTCTTAATGAAGACTAAAAATTTTAATAATTTTATATTTTGAAAATATGTGAATTGCAATAAATAATTTTTTTTTTATAAATCCTCTTAATTTTCAAAAAATTTTACCAAAAAAAAAAGATAAATCTCTGAATTTTTTTTCTTCTCAACAAAGATTATAATTACAGTCTAAAGTATTTTTTTATTTTTTGTCATTAATAATTATGACAGAGAGAGAGAGACTAACAACAAAAGAAAGAGAGAAAGAGAGAGGAAATAGGGACTATTAAATTCTCGACATTTGCGCGGCTATAAACGTAAATCTTCGCTATATAGTTTCAAAACGATGAGGAAGAATGAACAATGACAATCGAGAAAATGACGAATGATATATAGTGATGATATAAAAGGGAGAGAGAGAAAGAGAGAGAGAGAGAGACGATTTGCCTGAAAAGTACAGATGCCAATGTCTTTCTCAACTCGATGCAAAATGTGTTACAAAGAAACATGAAGGAGATTACCATAACGACACTCGACAGCGCGCGATCATTATCGACGAATCGCTTACTTATACTTTCAGATTCTGTCAACGAGTGGATATTTTAATGCAAAAGAAGAAGAAGAAGAAGAAGAAGAAGTCTTTTTCACCGATTGAAAGAAATAAGTTCATCTTTCAAAAAAAAAACACAAGGGAGAAAAATCTATAAAGAGCGCAATGAGAAATCTTGATTGACTTCTATAATATATATAAGAATTTTCACATTGAGAAAAAAAAAATTGACATATTGAAAAAAAAGTTTCGGTAATATTTCTTTTGTATTTTTCAAATAAAAAATATAAATAATACTCCAAAAAAGTAGACACACTGAGAGAAACGATTGGCTGCAATTACCATTTCGTTAGTAAGAGTATTTTTGCTAATTTATATTAGTTGCTGTTACCATTTAGTTAGTCAGCCTAACCTTTTTGTTAGTAAGGTAACTAATTAAATACACAGAAAATTAAAAGGCATTAAAATAAGCTGCAACGCTTATTATTTTAATCCAATTTTGCTTATTTTAATACCAAAATGGATTAAAATAAGCAAAATTGGATTAAAATAATAAGCGTTGCAGCTTATTTTAATGCCTTTTAATTTTCTGTGTAGTTATTCCAACAAACTAATTAGTTAAACCAACTAATAGAATAGTTATGCCAACCAATAAAAATAGTAACCATAACTATAATAAATTAGCAGCAGTATAGTTTACTAACTAAATATGGTCACCTCAAAAATGGTAACCCCAACCAGTCTTTTCTCTTAGTGCAGATTTGACTTTTACTCTCTAAATCTGAATTAGTAGTTTTCTACTAATGAAAAAGTGCGGATTCGTTTACCAATTGTAACAGTTTTGACTAATTTTTAGTAAAAAAAACTACTAATTGTTAGTAGAAAACTACTAATTCATGGAGTAAATCGGCTTACTAATTTGAAATACTCTCTAAATCTGAATTAGTATAAAACTGTTTTCTAATCTGAATTAGTGACTCACTTTTTGCTTCTCTAATTAGTAAAATTTTACTAATGATTAGTAACTTTGACTAACAATTAGTAAAATTTAACTAATTCTAAACTTAGTACAAGGTAACTTTGACTAACAATTAGTAAAATTTAACTTATTCTAAAGCAAAAAGTGAGTCACTAATTTAAATTAGTAAACATTTTTACTAATTCAGATTTAGAGAGTAGTAAAAAATACGACTTACTCCACGAATTAGTAGTTTTCTACTAGCAATTAGTAGTTTTTTAACTAAAAATTAGTCAAAACTGTTACTAATTCAATTGGTAAACGAATCCGCATTCTTTCATTAGTAGAAAATTACGAATTCAGATTTAGTGAGTACATTTTAGTTGAGGAAAAAAAAATACAAAGCTACAAGAAAATTTCTACTAAAACCAGACTTAAGGAAAAATCTGTTTTTTGTATTGATGAAAAAAATGTAAAAACAAAAGTCAAATCTTATTAAAATAAGTCGAAAAAATATAATCCAGGACCTGTATCAAAATCGACACGGAAAAAAAAGAAAAAGTACTACTTTCGGAGTAAAATGGCAACTGTGCGAAGTTTCTTCGCGCACCTCTGGCAACTTTTACTCCAAAAACAAATAAAATTTACTCCAGAGAAATAGTCAAAAATTACTACGGAAACAGTAAAATTTACTACAGAAATAGTCAATTTTTTACTACACTGAAAAAAATTTGCTTCGCATTAATGACTATTAATCATAACCAAAATTGCCTAGTGGGTTCCTCTCGTAACCAGACAAATTAGTCAATTCCTGGTATAAAGGGTGTTAAGAATTTTTTTCAATGTATTTTTTGGAGTAAAATTTGCCAGAGATGCGCAGAAAATTCGGACAGTTCCCATTTTACTCTGAAAGTAGTACTTTTTCTCTTGTTTTTCCGTCGCAAATTAATGATTAATTTTCAAAAATGACGACTCTATATATGGTAATTCGAATTGAATTTACAGGAAAGACTTGAAAGATCTGCTTGTTCAGTGTAACTGGTTCTATAATTTCCTTTAACGGCCCTCAAAGGGTGCGTGACTAGGTGTATATATATATATATATATCCCATTGATGATTTCGCGTTCCAGGACGAATTGCTTGCAAACACGTTTCAGTCGTTCATGCGAGACAATTTCACGCCACACGAACTGTTATATGGCTGTTACACCGTGTACCATTATTGTTTATTCCAATATCACATTACGCCTTCTAAGAAATTGCAATTTGAATAATGCTTCACCTATCCTATATACAATTATTTCCACTCGAAGAAAACTGATATAAAATCATATCGGTTATAATTTTCCTCTTTTAAGACTATATACCTCTTGACAATTTAACAATAATATTTAAACTTTTTAATTTTAATCAAAATTAATTTTTTTTTATTTGGAACAATGTTTCAGACTTCTGAAAAGATTTACGTTAAACTGACTCGAAAGCAATAGGGAATTAGGATATTGAGAGAAAGTAGAGTTCTTTGGAAAATACGTGAGGAGAAAATTTTCATCGTGGAAATTCAGACCTTCAATGTTACCACCGGTGTTGCCCATGACCACGAGTGACACTCGAGAGTCGTCGGTTAAACTGAAATTCAACTCTCAACGACCGCGACGACGGTCACAGACCTTCGAAATCTGGTACTCCCTCTGATTTGCAGCACTTTGGAAATTAACGCTCTGCTGGTTAAACTCAAACTGTAATCTAAATGAGAGCTTCAACTTAAATTTAACTTCAATTTTTTCTTTTTTTTTACTTGTTATTTTAGCCTCATTAAGACGAGCATTTTAAATGCACTGATAAACAGAAGCACTTCTTTTTTTTTTTTTTCTCTCAACAACAATATTTCCATTATTTTTTCATTTTTTTCAATCCAATTTCTAATTCGAAAAATTAGAAATTAGAATTATTTGTAAATAATTGGAATAAAAAAATCTTAAAAAAAAAATGAGTTTTCTCATTTGATAAATTATTATCCAAACTATAATTTTGTTTGAGAAATTGAAACATAAAAGGACACAAACTGTATATGTAGACTAAGATACTCGGAACTTGGAGGAAACTACAATCAACTAAGCCTCTCAGAACTCACTACAATTTAGTGACATGAATCTAAACCATTTCAACAAATCAACATAATCTTCCCAGAAAACAGTTACGTTCCATCAAACCATTTAACTCAAAAATATTCAGTTAGAGAGTATAATTTTATAATATCAGAATAATTACTATGTTTATTAAAATCCTATTAAAAATTTATTTTCCCTCCGTTTGTAAAAAAAAAAAATTTCCCTCAAATCAGAGAAAAATTATTAAAACAAAATTATTTATACTTTTTTTAGCCAAATAAACTTTTTTCAATTTAGTGGAAAAAAAAAATCTGAAGAAAATTTTTCCCACACATATATATGATTTTGTTTTTTCAAACGTCTTATATGAAGGCTTATAATTTTTCATATAGAACCATAATTATTGGCAAAAGTAATAACAATAATTATTGTGTCTTACCTTTTTCGTCGTGTAGAGTTTGCGACCAAAAAGTAACATGTCAGACTTTTTCCATGTATTGCAACCATCCTCTCTCAACCATACTGTACTAAACACTTGAGGGCACTCACTATCATCACGAGATAAATAATGCTGAAAAACAGAAAAGGAAAATTATATAAGTTTTTCACATGAATACAAAAAAAATAAGAAAATACGGAAAAAAAATATTTTGCTTACCCTTAAAACGCTTTCGGCATCGGCTAACGTCCCTCTTTCATCTTCTTGTGGGAAAGCAACCATTTCAGGAGGAAAGAATTGCTGAAACAGACAAAATACATATTCACGTGAAATATTTATAGAAAAAGATTTAAATAACTGTTTTTCTATTTAAAATCTTACATGCAACTTTTCGATTTTTTTCCAATCAATTTATTTTTTAACTCTAATTCAATTTTATTTATAATTTTAAATTGAAATTATTTAAATTTTATGAAAAAAAAAATAGTTAACTCTATTAGTAAAAATTTTAACTAATTTAGTGACTTGTTTTTTGTTTTTGAATTGGTAAAATTTAACTAATAGTACAAATAAATTTTTACTATCGTATTAGTAAAATTTAACTAATTCAGAAAAAATTTTTAATTACTTTAGTGACTCATTTTTTGCTTTTGAATTAGTAAAATTTTACTAATAGTGAAAAAAATTTACTATCGTATAAGTAAAATTTAACTAATACAGAAAAAAAATTTAACTAATTTAATCAATTATTTTTTTATTTTATATTAGTAAAAATTTAACTAATTCAGAAAAAAAATTTAATTACTTTAGTGACTCATTCTTTGCTTTTGAATTAGTAGAATTTTACTAATAGTGAAAAAAATTACTATCGTATTGGTAAAATTTAACTAATCGTAAAAAAATTTAACTAATTTAGTAACTTATTTTTTTCTTTTGAATTAGTAAAATTTTACTAATTCAGAAAAAAATTTAACTAATTTAGTCACTTATTTTTTTATTTTATATTAGTAAAATTTAACTAATTCAGAAAAAAATTCTAATTACTTTAGTGCCTCATTCTTTGCTTTTGAATTAGTAAAATTTTACTAATAGTGAAAAAAATTACTATTGTATTAGTAAAATTTAACTAATCATAAAAAAATTTAAGTAATTTAGTAACTTATTTTTTTCTTTTGAATTAGTAAAATTTTACTAATAGTACAAAAAATTTACTATTGTATCAGTAAACTTTAACTAATTCAGAAAAAAAAATTTCACTAATTTAGTGACTTATTTTTTGCTTTTAAATTAGTAAAATTTAACTAATAGTAAAAAATTTACTATCGTATTAGTAACATTTAACTAATAGTAAAAAAAATTTACTATTGTATTGGTAAAATTTAACTAATTCAGAAAAAAATTTTAATTACTTTAGTGACTCATTTTTTGCTTTTGAATTAGTAAAATTTTACTAATAGTAAAAAATTTTTACTATCGTATTAGTAAAATTTAACTAATACAGAAAAAAATTTTAACTCATTTAGTGACTTATTTTTTTCTTTTTAATTAGAAAAATGTTACTAATAGTACAAAAAATTTACTATTCTATTAGTAAATTTTAACTAATTCAGAAAAAAAATTTTAACTAATTTAGTGACTTATTTTTTGCTTTTAAATTAGTAAAATTTAACAAATAGTAAAAAAATTTACTATCGTATTAGTAAAATTTAATTAATAGTAAAAAAATTTTACGATCATATTAGTAAAATATAACTAATTCAGAAGCAAAAAGTAACTTAAATTTGTTAAAAATTTTACTAATTCAATTTTAGAGAAATGATTAAAAAAAGATATCTTCAATTTTATTAAACATTTATTTAAAATAAAAATTGAAAGGGACTTTAAAAAAAAAACTAACTTCATGGAAAAAAAATTTATTTGTAACAGCGAAGGTTTTTACTAAAATAGTGAATTAACTGTAACAATTAAAACTTTTTCTAATCTAGTGAAACCTTTCGCTGTTCCAAGTAAATATTTTTTTCCATATTGTTCCTAATTAAAATTTTCAGTTTCAAACAAAATTTCATTTTTTCTTAAATTGAAAAAATTTTCTCAAACATGGAAAAAAAAGACTGAAATATTTCACTACATCTATCATATCTGCTGATATATAGAGAAATTTGAATTTATTTTTTCCAAAAAAAAGCAACTACTTTCAAAGAAAATTTAATTTGTCAGGGAAAAATGTGAATTTCTTTGAAGAAATATCGAAAAATATTCAATGTTTCTAAAAATAGTTTGATTTTTTTATTTTGCAAAAAAAAAAAAAAGAAACACATTGCACTCTCTTTGAAAAAGCTCAAAGTAGTATATAGAAGAAAAAAAAAGTAGAACAAAGAAAAAAGCACAAAAAATAGAAATTTTTTTCTTAATTTTATTTCCTAACTACTAAAAAAAAAAAAATACCTTTTCTTTTTAAATTAATATTTTACTATTTTTATATATTCTTTATGAGATGAGGGGAGACAATAATAATCATGTTCACAGGATGCACACACGTTTCACTTTCTAGTCGATTTAAAAAAAATTCTACAACTTATGCTCCTAATGAGAAACAGGTTTTCACACATTATTTTTTTTTTTTATTTTAATTTTTTTTTCGTTGTACTTTTGGTATTATTGTATACTGTTAAACGCGGCATTTCTGTGACACGAAAGTATCCCTTTCCCTATAGTCTACAAAGAGATCCCGAGGGCGTAAGACGGAAAGCAATACCCAGACAAGGATAAAAAAAAAAAAATTGTATCTCGTTTTCCTTCTGTACTCGTCTGCAGAAGACGTTACTACTTGGAGTTTGCCAAACAGACGGTCTCAGCAGTTTTAAGGAAGACTAAAAGCTATATAGACATAACAAAACAAAAAAATTACAAAAAAAAAAAAAACCCCTAACAAAAGAAAATTCTAAAAGAGAAGAGAGGTGTCGATTTGACGAAATGTACGAAAAAAGTGACAAAAAAAAGAGAGAGAGAGAAGAGAAGTGGAAAATACGAGTGAGGAAATCGTCACGTTTCTCTCGTCCATTAGTAAAATGAAAAATTTCTCTCTAGACTTTTAAGACAAAATGTAAAAAAAAAAAAAAATGAGCAGCTTATATATCTATGAACTCAATTTTTCAGCTCTAGTATTGTTCTCAAGAATTTAATTAACTCGGAATATTCTCAATTTGCAACTTGAGAGGGGGGAAAAAAAAAAAAAAATTACGTATAAAAAAAAAAATATGTACTCGCGAGTGAATACTATTTTGTTAGTGGACTAATTTTAATTAATTAGTTCAGAACTCCTTTGAGACTCGTTGCTTTAATAACTCGCAATATGGAACTAATAATAGACCTGTAAAAACTTTTCATTTAAAAGTTTCAACACGTAAGCCTCCCATGGGCCTTGAAAGTTAAAAAAAAAAAAAAAAGAAAAAAAAGTTTCAACTATCTCAGCATTTAATATTTTTGTACCATGCAAAACTTTTATATGACATGACCAAAGTTACATTGGAAGAACAAGGTTAATTCTTAACTGGTTTTAATGAAATTAAGAATAATTAACAAAACGTCTTAAAAAAAAATATGTATCTAGAAAATATTTTAGAAATTCGAAATTTTAATTTGAAAAAATATTTCTCTGCTTTCCTTAATAGAGAAATAAATAAATCTTTTTAATAATCATATGCTAATTAAATATCAATATTAATGACTTACAGTGACTAATCTTTAATTACAATGTTAATTAAAACTCAAGTTTTTCTCATGTTTTACGCAAATATCTCAAGTATTTGCAATTCAATTTTTTTTTTTTTTTTTATTCAACAAAGAAGAAAAATCAATACCATTTTGAGGGCTTTATACAGTAGCGCCCTCGTGGATTAAGAATTAAAACCTTCTTTCCAATATCGATGAAACAAATTTCAACAGTCGGTATGTCAGAAACTGCAAGTAGAAAGTTCGCGTGTAGGTAACTGTGTTATTACCTACAGCCAATTCTGTTGGTAACTTACCCTCTGATGATAAAGTAGAAAACGGAGATAATTTACAATTTTCTACTTTATCATAATTATTTTATACTTTCAATTCATTTGAAAGTAGTAAAAAATTATTCAGAACAGAAAAGAAGAAAAAAAAAGGAATAAAAGGGAAAATCTTACCTTAGGATTAATGAAGAATTCGTACTTCAAATAGTCTTCACGGAAAAAGAATTTTCTTTCGTGATAAGAAGCGAACATTTCAATTTCTCTGTGCGTTGCAAGAATATCTTCATGATCCTCCAGTGTGCGTTCTGTAAACAAAATTAATTTTTTAATTTAATGCTTTATTATAAGTATTTTTATAAATTTTCGTCAAAAAAAAAATTCAGATTTTTATACTCTCTAAATCTGAATTAGTTAAATTTTACTGATTGTTAGTAAAAGTTACTAATAATTTTACTAATTTTAAATTTTAAATTTTACTAATTGTTAGTAAAAGTTATTAATAATTAGTAAAATTTTACTAATTTAGAAGCAAAAAATGAGTCACTAATTCAAATTAGTAAACATTTTTAGTTTTTACTAATTCAGATTTAGAGAGTATTATTCAATAGGAATAATATTTAAATATGCTAATTGTAATAACTAAATTACAATTAAATACTAAATTATTTAGTTACAAAAATTCAATTAATAAAGGAATTGTAAAAATTTTTCCCCACCCTCTCATATTCACTAAAAATTAAATGTAAAATATATCCATTTATTCAAATGAAATTATGACGTAAATGAAAACTCAATTAGTGAATCACGAAAAAATCCTTCTTTTTAAAATTCAGTAATTTCCTGATGGCTAATAATAAATTACACTTTAATTAAGCGTGCTAATTGAGTCTACGTCAAATTTCTCAGTAATGACTAAAAAATTTCACTTTGACTATATGAAAAAAAATAGCAAATTTATGATAAATATAAAATCATGATTATAAATATTTACTTATTTATAGAAAAAAGTTATTTTAAAAACGAAGGTTTCTTTATATACAAATGATTAAAATCATATTCTATAAATGATTTTTCTTTTTTAAACAAACGTAAACGAATTATCAAGGGCAAACATTTTCTGACTCGAGCTGATATCTATTAACATATATATATATAGTTTGACTGATATTTATGTTCAATTTGCTAAGCGATACTTCGCCGGAAGCTCATCATATTCATAAGGCTATATACACCACTACTAATCGCGTCAGGCATGGACATTATGATAGAGCATTGCTTCCACACTTTGCCGCATTTTCTTATACTTCCAAGACAACCGGTTTTCTATTTATTCCCACATTCATCCATAACCTTACGGGACTAAAGCTTCAAGTTCATGTAAAACACTAAACAAAACAGAGTCATGCTCTTTTTGTCCAAGGCGATTCATATAAATTTTACAATAGCAAAACTTGATAATGGAATTTTCTTCACATTAACACTTCTATTGAGCATTCATTAAATTTTGCAATTTCATAATTTCGGGCGCATTATCCCATATAAATCATTAGAATTTACATTTTCAATTTTATTTTAGACCTATTTTTTAGACGAATTTTCATTTTGCGAATTAACATTAGAGTTTCTTTTTTTTTGAAGAATTTTTAATTAACAAAATTTTTTAGGCACCGAATTTTTATTTGTCCGAAATTACAAATGTCCGAACAGAAAATCGACAGAAATATTTCGGCGCTATTTTTAAAATCCGCCAATCATGGCACAGAAAATTAAAAGACATTAAAATAAGTTGCAACGCTTATTATTTTAATCCAATTTTGCTTATTTTAATACCAAAATGGATTAAAATAAGCAAAATAGGATTAAAATAATAAGCGTTGCAGCTTATTTTAATACTTTATAATTTTCTGTGGGATTTTGACAAATTTTGATTGGTGAATTTTAAACCGAAATGTTTCTATTGATTGTTTGTTCGATCATTAGCAATTTCGGACAAATAAAAATTCGGCGCCTAAAAATTATGTTTAGTAAAAATTTGTTTAAAAAAAAAAATTCTGTTAATTTGAAAAATAAAAATTTGAAAAAATTGTTTTAGAATTATTCGCGAATTGTTGGAACAAATTCGGATATTATAAATTTAAAAGCGCCAGGCAATTTTTTTTTTTCTTTTTTTTTTTCATAATGTTGGAACATTGTCCATTATCTGTAAAACATTACTAATGCTTTCACATTTTTTTCAATAAAAGAAATGCCATTTTTTACAGTTTGAAATGTTGAAGAGAGAAGCACAGCCAGAGTTCTCATGAGAATACGCAGACGAAATTGAATCGACGACTGTGAGAGTAGTTGATTTAATGTTGGTTCGCTTATCGCATTTGTTCGTTGTAAACTTTTTCATTTCTACCTTGTTGGAAAAATTGTTTGTCTTTTTTTTTTTTGTTTTTGACATAAAACAAGAACAAAAAAATTATCAAATACTGAATTTATCTCCAAAGATATATATAATCTAAATTTATCAAAAATAATTCTTTTAGAAAATTTAAAATAAAAAAGAAAATGTACTCTCTAAATCTGAATCAGTAGAAATTTTACTAATTCAATCAGTAAATTTCTACTAATTATCAGTTGCTCAATTCTCGCTATGGCAATTAGTAGATTTCTACTGTTAATCAGTGAAATATGACTGATTCAAATTTAGAGAGTAAATGAAAGGTTAAAACATTTTTTTAATGCGCAACAGAAATATTTTTCTATATAAAAGCTCAATTCATTGAATCGAAAAATATTGTTTTCAAACATAAAAAGAAAAATTTAACAAAGGTAACGTAAAATAATTCCTTTGCAATGAATAAATTGGCAAAAAAAATTTTTAAAATATTAATTAGAACATTAAAAAAAAAATTGTTCTCATATCGGTTTCTCTCTCTTTATATTTTTGCGCTTTCCAAGTAATGAATAAAAAGAACGAGAAAAAAAAAATAAATCTAATAAAAATTCAAATTAAATATTCCCTCAATATTGGAAAATTGCCAATAATCACTATGTTATCTTTGTGTCGTGGAATAAAAAAAAACGTAAATTGAGGTACATATATACAAAAGAGGAAAAAAAAAAAAAAAATAGAGAGAGGGTTGGGAGAAAAAAAGTTCTGAAAACAAATAAGGAAACCCTAGCAGTAACAAGATGAATGTGACTAAGGATCTTTGCGGGCACGACAAGACTTTTAAAAGTCAGGTAGCACCTGTGGTAAACCGCGCAAAATACACAAGTGAACGCAGATCCCGTGGGGCTTCTCACGTTCAAAGTATCGTTAAGTACACGTTTCAAAATGAAACATGTTTATTTTCTGTCACGGATTGGATGTTAAAATTAATATCACCTCCTTCTATATATCGAAGACATAAGACTTGACTATTCATCCTCATAAGTCAACTCACTTACCACAATTATTTACATAAGAAACACTAACACATTTAACCCTTCAATTATAAATAACACACACACACACACACACACACATATATATACTGTTAAATATAACACATACAGAAAGCTAACTTAATATATAACAAATATTGATTGACTTTCAGTAACAAATATTGACTGACTTTCAGAGACGTGCAACCAATAAATGCCAACATGCGAAAATATAACTTTCATCCCGCAAGAGATGATTGAATTCGAGATTAGAGGCGCACTTTGTGACACGAGGATTAATTAAATTAAAAATTATATTGTTAATTTAATTGTTAATTGAATTTATAGAATTTATATCAATTAAATCACAATAGAAATTCTTACATGAAAAAGTTTGAATTCACCACTTTAAACAAACAAATAAACAAAACTTTTAGGTTAGGTTAGGAATGGTTAAGTTAGGTTAGGCTAGGAATAGTCACATTATTAGATAGGATTAGGTTAAGTTAGGATTAGGTTAAGTTAGGATAAGGTTCAGTTAGGATTAGGTTCTGTTAGGATTAGGTTCAGTTAGGATTAGGTTAAGTTAGGAATATTTAAGTTAGGTTAAATAGGATAAGGTTAGGTTAGGAATAGTTAAGTTAAGTTGGATAGAATTAGGTTATGTTAGGTTAGAAACAGTTAAATTAGGTTAGAAATGGTTAAGGTAGGTTAGTAATAGTTACATTAGGTTAGAAATGGTTAAGTTAGGTTAGATAGCATTAGGTTAGGTTAGGAATAATTAAGTTAGGTTAAATAGGATTAGGTTAAGTTAGGATAAGGTTAAGTTAGCATTAGGTCCAGTTAGGATTAGGTTCAGTTAGGATCAGGTTCTGTTGTGATTAGGTTCTGTTAGGATTAGGTTCAGTTAGGATTAGGTTATGTTAGGAATATTTAAGTTAGGTTAAATAGAATTAGGTTAGGTTAGGAATAAATAAGTTAGGTTGGATAGAAATAGGTTAGGTTATGTTAGGTTAGAAACAGTTAATTTAGGTTAGGAATAGTTAAGTTAGGTTGGATTGAATTAGGTTATGTTAGGGTAGAAACAGTTAAGTTAGGTTAGAAATGGTTAAGTTAGGTTAGAAATAGTTACATTAGGTTAGAAATGGTTAAGTTATGTTAGATAGCATTAGGTTAGGTTAGGAATAATTAAATTAGGTTAAGTTAGGATTAGGTTAAGTTAGGATAAGGTTCAGTTAGGATCAGGTTCTGTGAGGATCAGGTTCAGTTAGGATTAGGTTAAGTTAGGATAAGGTTCAGTTAGGATTAGGTTCTGTTAGGATTAGGTTCAGTTAGGATTAGGTTAAGTTAGGATAAGGTTCAGTTAGGATTAGGTTCTGTTAGGATTAGGTTAAGTTAGGAATATTTAAGTTAGGTTAAATAGGATTGGGTTAGGTTAGGTAGGTTAGGTTGGATAGAATTAGGTTAGAAACAGATAATTGAGGTTAGGAATAGTTAAATTAGGTTGGATAGAATTAGGTTAGGTTATGTTAGGTTAGAAACAGTTAATTTAGGTTAGGAACAGTTAAGTTAGGTTGGATAGAATTAGGTTATGTTAGGTTAGAAACAGTTAAATTAGGTTAGAAATGGTTAAGTTAGGTTAGAAATAGTTACATTAGGTTAAAAATGGTTAAGTTATGTTAGATAGCATTAGGTTAGGTTAGGAATAATTAAGTTAGGTTAAATAGAATTAGGTTAAGTTAGGTTTGGTTAGCTTAGAAATGATTAAGTTAGGTTAAATAGAATTAGGTTAGGAATGATTAGGAATGATCATACCTGTTAATTAAACAAGTTCCTAACCTAAAAGTTTTGTTTGTTAAAATTAAAAACAAAAAAAATTTTGAATTTTCCA